CTGACAGACAGCACCTGACCACGCCCTTACTAAAACAACATTATAACTATTCCATATGCAACATCTTTTTGTGACAGTTATTTAATGGAAAAAAGAATGGATTATTCCCTTCAAATATTTTAACACAAATAAAATGAGAGAAATTAATTACAAATTATGGCACTGAATTTATCCTTCTAAACATTTCTTGCGAAGATTTAAAAAATATATTGATGTTAGTTGTTCATTTTTGATCCTGGTGTAGAAACATATTTATTTTGGAATTGTCCTCACACTGTTATCTTTTGGGATGTTTTTTACTTTTGTCTGCCAAAATATTTGTAATCATTTTCTTTATTTTACAAAGATGTATTATTTGTTTTTTTGGAGTATCTATAAAGGAAGTGAGAGTTTTTCTAATCACCCTTCTTATATTTTTTTGCAAAATTTTACATTCACAAAAATAAATATAACAAGCAACCTCTTTTTGAACAAAAAAACATTTTTATGTAGTGTTTCTGCTTCAACAAACACTAAACCACTAAAAACTTGAGCGTTTTCTTTTTTTACGTTTTTCTTGATTGTGAATTATTTCCACCCTTAGCAGACTTTTTTGTTGTCCTCTGTTTTCATTGTACATCTTTATGTGCGTTTCACTATGTATGTAGCACACATAAGCGATGTTCAACCCAATTTCCAAAGAAATTGGGACGCTGTGCAAAATGTAAATAAAAACTGAATGCAATGATGGGCAAATCATTTAAACACTATGTTTAATTGAAAATGGTAAAAATACAACATATCAAATGTTGGAGAAATGTTATTGTTTTTTGAAAATTATATGTCCATTTTGAATTTGATGCTAGGAACATTAAAAAAAAAGTTGGAACAGGGTCAGTAAAACACCAATGAAGTTGTGTAATGCTAAAAAAAACACCTGGTGGAACATCTCGGAGCTAATTGTTAATTGGCAACAGATCAGTATCATGATTAGGTATACAAAGAGCATCCCAGAGAGCTTACCCGAATGAATCATACATAAAGATGGGGAGCGGTTCACTGCTCTTAGAAAGACGTGAGCAAATAGTGCATCAATACAAGAATAACGTTACTTAATGCAAAATAGCAAGAAACATGGGGATTTAATCATCTACAGTACATAATATCATCAACAGATTTGTAGATTCAGGAGGAGTCTCTGTATATACAAGGTACAAGGCCAAAAACCAATATTACGATGGTCATGATCTTCATGCTCAGGCAGCATTGCATAAAAAAGAAAAAAAAGACAATTCTGCAGTGGATATCGCTGCATGGGCTCAGGAACACTTCCGAAAACCTTTGTCTGTGAACACAGTTCGTTGCTGCCCTAAGTTAAAAGTCTACCATGTCAAGAAGAAATCATATATAAGCAGGATCCAGAAACACTGCTGCCTTCTCTGGGGTTGAGCTTATTTAAGATGGACTGAGACGAAGTGGAAAAGTGAAATTTAACACCACCTGGATTGTTATATTACTGTTGTACAACTGTTGTATCACTGCAGGATGATTCTCTGTAGTAAAAGAGTCCAGGTATTTCACTGGCCTGTCAGACCAGTCACCCATTGAAAACATTCGGGGGATTATAAAGCAAAAAATATGACAGAGGAGATCCCCCCCCATTACTGAGCATTCTTGCTATATCAAGCAAGAATGGAAAACCATTTTATTTTCAAAACTACAGCAGTTGGTCACCTCAGTTCCTAAAAGCTTACAGAGTGTTGATAAAAGAAAAGGTAATGCAACGCAGTGATAAACATGCCCTTTTCCCAGCTTTTTTGAAATGTGTTGCTGGCATCATTTAAATTTTTTTTTGTTTGTTTTTCAAAAAACAATAACATTTCTCAGTTTCAACATCTGATATGTTGTCTTTGTATTATTTTCAATCAAATATATGGTTTAAATGATTTGCACATTATTGCATTTTGTTTTTATTTATATTGTGCACAGCAACTTATTTGGAAATGGGGTTGTATTTTTGTGTTGGAGAGCAAAAACTTAGGCAAAAAAAGAAAGGCCAAAAAAGGGACCTCATAGTCTTGCACAATTTCAGAAGCTAAAGTTACTGCATGTTTTAAAGTTGGCACTGGTGTATACTGTGAACAGACAGAAAAGTTTGAGTCCAATCAGGCTGCTGTTTTAAAAGTCATATTACAAAATTATATATAATCAAACTGTGCCTGCCCTCCACGGACAATTAAAAGTTTTACACAGTGGTATATTAAGCATTTAGAGCTCATCAGAAAGAGCACCATTAATTTTCAGAGAAAAAGGGCAGGAGCCAAGTCCTCTGTAGTCCCCCAACCCCAAGAGCAGTCTTTAAGCTGCTGCTCTGTTAATCAGTGTGCCCCAACTAAATAAAGCGGAAAAATCTCCAGCACATCCAGTGAAAGTTTCTCTATGGTTGAGGTATGACACATCACAAGTGGATATATTACTCTGCTTCAGTTCATTTGCTAATGTAAGAATAGCTATAAGGTCTCTGGCTGTTTCCATGTTCCAGATAAGACTTTTTCCAATTTCATATGCTGTGGCACTGCCCCAATGGACTGACTGACAGCTATAATTGCAAACAGAGGAAGCACTTTTACATCTGAATTTTGCCATCTTTCTAACAAGGTGTTCTCCTTGATTGTAAAGCTATGACCAAGCTAAGGCATAGACTCAAAAATGGTGAGTTTAATGGCAAGTTATTAAGTTCCTCCGTTACCCAGAATTCATAGCGAAATATTAAAAAAAAATCAGTTCAGTTATGGCTGCACTTCCTCTAAAGCACCACCCACTGACCCTAGCTACAGCCAGATTCTAGTATTGACATTTTAATTACACAGAGATTTAGATGCTTTGAGTAGCTTAAAGGCCTATATTAGCCAGTATAGTTCTTCATGCAGATAAAACACAAATGATGGGCAGTAAGAGTTTTTAGAATGACCTCCATTTATAATGAGTGTTTAGGAGGATTGTTTCTGTTCTGACCTTCTGACCTTGGTTGGCTAAGCAAAATATCACTTACAGACTCTTGCGTACTAGTTTATATTCCTAGTACTAAAAAGACCAGTTAAAGACTAATTTGCTTTTTACTTCTGGCATATGCAGCATTTCTAAAGGAACAACAAATAGGTCCTATTATTATCAGTATGGGGTTGAGACTATGGACTTAATATTAACTTTTACCACAAATGATGGAAAAAACAACTATAAAGGGCAATTCAAAACCATTATATGATAACTGTATAACCTGTAAATATAAGCAGCAAGTGTTTATCTGTGCTGAAATGTCATAAGTCATAAGCATGACAGCCCCAGTGTTCATGCTTCATGCATTGATAATGCAGTTTTCAGTGCTTAATTAGAAAGTGCAAATGCATATAAGTATGTTTTATATTTGTTTTATATATGTTGTATATTTAATTAGATTTTTATATTTTCATTTTCATTTTGACACCATTGTTACATACTCACTTGAAGAATAATCACACAGTTTGGGACATACATTTTAATTTAAATTACAAGCTACTCATAAAGCTTCTAAAACTTGAAATGAAATGTCAATACTAGGGTACTTATAAAGTGAATTTTCATTTTTACTCAAATTTGCAGACATGATTAGAAAATTTAAATTCAAACATAGAAATGTGTTACCATTTTCCTTATGTTTCCATTTTAAATTTGCTTCTGATGCGCTGCCATGTAACTGGTAGCTGTGTTGTTCAGTTTTCCATCTGTAGCGACTTGTCTCCATGAAATAAATATTTTTGTAAATTTGTATGTTAAGCAGAAATGTTATGTAAGTGTGATCTATGCAGGAAGATGTTTTCATGTCCACACAAATACTAATTCTAGTTGGGTTAGTTACCATTTGTTTTCAAGCATTGGTAATCACAATCAAGCTTTATTTAAGTAGGCAGTTTGTTGATAGTCTGTCAAAATTCAAATCCCCAGCAAAATTATTTCCTCATATACTTTGCATTCTTTGTCCAGCAAAACACTCACATAAATGAACTTAAATTGAAAACTTAGTGGTTTATAGCAACTTGCTACAATTGGTTTTAATCTATTTAAACAAACTTGCAACTGTAACACTTTGCATAATATCGCTTAGTTTTACAGGAATATGCTATTGAATGTTGGACAATATCCTTGTAAAATAATTCCACTGAACATCTTATCCAGAGGAGTCTCAGTGACTACCATTATGTGTATACTGTTTAACACCAGAAGATGAGTAATATCAGTAAGTTTGTTTCATGAATTCCAGGCCCTGAAAATGTTCTCCTCAGAGACTTTTGTTACTTTTTGGTATATCATCAGTAATTGAGTTGTAGTGCTTGGTTGTTCTAACTAAATTTTTTTTAGTTCTGCTTCTCAGTTAGCCAAATGGTATAGAGTTTGTTTTTAGTCAGTTACCCCACTAGTTGTGACTGTTTCATCACACAGAAGCCCCCCAGGCATTTTCGTCTTTTGTTATGGCATCACTGGGGTCCAAACTCATGACCATTTGATGTTAGAGTGAATGCTTAGACAGTGGTACCACTCAGGGCCCTTTAAGATTTTAAAGATTTCTCTGTCTTAGATGTCTGTGTCCAGAAATGTTTAATACACTAAAAAATTGTTTTTAACTTTGACAAGTAACAGATCACCATAAAAAGCCTGAACTTAAATTTGTTGGCCTATATAACATTTTTTTGGTTACCTGAACAAAGAACAAATACTTTTCATAGTGTAGTTTGTGGTGATGTATTGTGCAAAACTCAAAGTCAAGTATGTCTTGGCAGATTTGACTACATTATGAAAATTGCATACATTTAACATACAATAAAATATTGCCTTAAGATGAAAATACCCCATGCCTTATAATCTAAAACAATACTGCTAAAGGAAGGAAAAAGATGACATGGGCATAGTGGAGGCCTTTCTTAGTCCATTAAAGCATGCCTTTAACTGTTGTGTGTTCTTATGTAATTACTGTTTCTCCATTATAGGGGGCAATCTGAGTTTCTCTTCTGAAGTGTTCATACTGGATGCAGTTGGAGGAGGGGACATAAACCTTGGCGAGCTGGCTGACCTCACTGTTGCTAATGACAATGAACTTACTAGTGACGTAGGTGTACTAATCTTTTTGAGTAGTTTTTCTTCATGCTTGCTTTGGGAAGTTTATACGCCTTGGACAATGAACACGTGTTAATGTTTTTAAATATATTTTCAAATTATATTTTGCATGGATCTTACATATTTGTATATAATAGAAAATATCTCCACTGCACTCCATTTTTCTTGTGGTTCTCTCATCTTATCTCTCTCTTTCCCTCTGTACCTCTTTCTTTCATAGCTGCAGGACAGTCGAGAGGAGTTTAAGAAGACATGGAATCCACGCTTTACGTTGCGAAGCCACTTTGACGCTATCCGAGCACTGACATTTCACCCCAGTCAAGCTGTGCTGTTGACAGCTTCAGAGGATGGCACACTGAAACTTTGGAACCTGAACAAGGCCATGCACTCCAAAAAGTAAGCACTTGTCACTAGCTCCTTCTGCACTTGGGTGAACTAAAATATGGAATTTTGCCATTTGTGAATAATTGTGAATGTAGTTTGTTAGTCTAAAAAATGCAATACACTGCTTTATACCAATCAGGCATAACATCATGTCCTTGTTTCTACGCTCATTGTCCATTTTATCAGCTCCACTTACATTATAGGTGTACTTTGTAGTTCTACAATTACAGACTGTAGTGCTGAGAATGATCCACCACCCAATTAGTACCTGCTCTGTGAGGGTCCATGGGGGTCCTGACCACTGAAGAACAGGTTAAAAGGGGGCTAACAAAGTATGCTGAGAAACAGATGGACTATAGTCTGTAATTGTAGAACTACAAAGTGCACCTATTTAGTAAGTGGAGCTAATAAAATGGACAATAAGCGTAGAAACAAGGAGGTGGTCATAATGTTATGCCTGATTGGTGTATAGGCCTGCAATGAAGAAATGCTTTATAATTTTAGCTACTTTATTGGCAGGTGATTTAATATTTTGCAGCCGTTGCTTTCATAGGAACACAAGAATAAACAAGAGAATGCAAGACTAACATCTCAGTTTTTAACTTATCCTGGCTGTTGAGATAATCAAGGAGTACACTTCTCCAATTTCCTTAAATTTTATTCAGAATTAAAGGATTTTTAGGGAGTTTTGCATAAGTGGTTATACATATTTGTTTATCATTTTTTTGATTGGGTGCCAGAATTCTGTAGAGAATTCAGTGCCACAGAATCATCAGCAGAGTGAGTCAGGAGGCTGCTAGAAAACAGACGGGAAGTGATGTACTGTTGTTCATTTTATCTTTGTTATCAGGTTCCTTAGCAGTCATGGTACAATGAACCTTACAAAAGAAGGATTTTTTTTAACCTCTATAAGAATTATATTAGTCTTGATATGGCCTATCTTCTTGTTTTACCTATTGAAGTGGCTCCAAAGAACAACTAGAATTACTGCAAGGTTACCTGAAGGGTTCCACAGCCCTGTACGTGTTCTGTCTTCCATACTAACTCTGACAAAACTGACCAGCAGCCCACACACAAACTGCTCTTCAGTATATGGCCGAACTCTGATTTTCAGCCCTCCTTCTCCTCATCTCTAAATAAATACATCATATCTGACCACGAAAAACGTATGTAGGACGTATGGGTAATGTATTTCTTTACGAGGAATGAGACAATAGAATGAGACAATAAAAAAACAAAGTTGGAAAAGTTGGAAACAAAGTTAAAACCGGACTGACTAATGGCTTTAAATGGAGTACATACCATCATCTCACAATCTCGTAGCTCATGGTAAGTCCAAATCCCTATGGTACTTATGAGTGGTATTTTTTACCTCCGGAACCAGACTGTTTAGCTCTATTCAAACAGTGCTCTCTTACACGTTCTCAGCCTGCAGAGATCTTCCTCATTCGTCATGCATCACCCCAGTCTACAAACCCCTGTCTGTCAGGCTCTTGTCTGCAAATATCGATCTGTGTGCAAATTCTGGTTTGTTTAGATCCTTACAACACACTATTATATACATTACAGCATTAGTTGGCACACCTGTTTTCAGGTGACCCTTGTGACAAGGAATTTGAAAATAACAGGCACTGTGCCTTGAAGGGCCTGGAAACCTATAGTCTATTCTGGACTTAAGCAGTGTCTTTTGTAAATTTAAAATTCCACAGACTATGTCAGTTCCAATACTTGGAACTTGGAAATACAGAATAAAGAAAAAACATTAAAGTAAAACAAACAAACAAAAAAAAATCACATTAGCAACACCTGAAAACACAAATAGAAGCCAGGGCTACGAGCTAAACACAGGGGTGCAAGAAAGCAAAGAGACAGTTCAAAAGAGACAGTAACCAAAGCAATAACAAAAGCACATATCAAAAACTAGGATCACAGACTAGTCTGGGGCAGAAACAGAAAATGTTAGAGACAGACTGTGACCATGACAGTAGTGTGCAGAATTAAGGAAAGCTTATACGTAATTTTAGCCAACCATATCTGCTGAAGGTAGCCGAAGCTAGGTAGCTTTCAAGCACCCTTAGCTATGGTTATCTGACACTGTGTTATCTTCAAAGGTTTCACTTTCATTTATTTCTTTTGTTGCCATGTTTTTTTTTTTTGGAGGATTTGGAGGTTTTGTTCCTCACATCAGAAATATTTGGTGACTGTGTGCTCACTTCATTGTGCCATGTTTGTTTGACATTGTGAGGACTAAAATGGGGATTGATGAGCGCAAAGGAATCACGATACGCATTTAATTATTATTTTTATTATTTTTATTATTATTATTGACATGAAGGTTGCAAGGCAATACAAATTGTAATTTTCAATGATTCTGGTGCATGCTACTGGTGACAAGCCAGTACTTAGCACTGGGCTTGAAAAAACATTGTCTCCCCACAGAAGTGCATGGGTTCATAAAGATGGTAAATGCCAATGGCTTTAAATTTTTTATTTATTGATAATTTATTCATTGTAATATAACATTCCATGATATTCTTAAAGAAATTTAGAAGAAGTTAGAAAAAGTCCCCTGCCAAAAGTTAGAAAAAGTCCCCTATCAAAAAAAACAAAACAAACAAAAAAAAAAAAAACCCTGTTGCCCTGTTGTTTGTATTACTTCACCAGGCACTGCTACAATTTTGTTTTGACATTTAGAGGACCAGCAGAGAAAAAAAAAAAAACATAACAGCCAAATGAATATTGCCTTTTTTTTTACTTCTGTAGAGAAAATGTGGTATTGTGGACCAAAAATCATTAAACCATATTATGTCATTTTTGTAAATTGTGAATTTATCATCATATTTATTTATTAACATTTATGACATAATTTCCCCTAATGTTAACTCAAACAAGGACTTCAGAACTCTCACGGGCATCTGGTACATTTGCAATGATACCATTATTTCAAAACTTTTTTATTGCATTCACTTTGTTTCCAGGTTGTATAAACTACTGTACCTTTAACAACAAAAAATTCTAGAGTTTGTTCAGACAGGCTTGATACTAGAAAATCAGGCATTAATTTCTCTCTATCATCTCCATCATGTTTCATGTTTTCTGATGGACCTTATTCAGGTTACCTGAGTGATTACCTAATAATATTATTCCTATGCTAGACAATCACTTTTGCCAAATACAGAAATGTCTTAGACTATCACTGTAGTTTCTGCCAAAAGTACAAAAAAAGAGTTAGTCAAGTTACTGTGCACATGTTCCAGGTACTCGTTAATATCATAATTTAGAAAAACAAGGGTGTTGATGTCATGTTTTTTGTATAGAAATAATGTACACATTTGAATCAAATTTATTCTATGGACTATTTTGTCAGTGCATGTATTATCATACATGCACTGACAAAATAGTCCATAGAATAAATTTTTAATATTACAGCTGTTTGTTGAACCGATGAATAAATCATTTGGACTTCAAAGTCTGATATTGCGTAACAATTATAGTATAGTTACTGTATAGGAAGCGTTTGCTTTTGACCTTACATTTTTTTTTTTGTCTTTTGTTTTTCTATTAGAAATGCAGCACTGGACGTTGAGCCTGTTTACACTTTCCGAGCACACAGGTGAATGTTAGACTTAAGCTTTGGGTTGGGTAAGCATTAGGTTAAAAGAGACTGAATTATATTAAACTTTAGGTTGTCGTAAGTATAGTAATAGAATTATACGTTTTTATGTGTGTGCAAATAGTGGAGCAGTCCTCTCTCTATCCATGGGTGAGGAAGGGGAGACCTGCTATAGTGGGGGTCTGGATGGAAGCGTGCGTTGTTGGAAAATTCCAGATCTTAATGTGGATCCTTACGACAACTATGGTAAGTTTCTAAAATATTTACAGTCCTATAGTCCTGCTTGTCTGACACATGCTACCATTCATAAGTTTGAAATCACTGATGAAAAGTTCACAATCAGTGTTTTAAGTACTATAAAACTAATTTGTTTGTGGATACATAAAATGATCTATTATGCTAGTGTTTGCAACAAATAATTAATGGGAAACTAGAAAGCTATAAAACACATTAAGAAAATTTTAGAAGTGTTGGTGTATAGAAGTTTAGTGTCCAGAGCAATAAATGATTTTGAAGTTACTAGTAAGGATGTGAATAAAGTTATAATAAAATGAATATCCAGAATACCTCATGATTCAGATAATTATTCAGAAAATAACACTGTTATTTCCAAAATGTTTTAAATATTGAATAAAAAATCTAAAAATAAGTTTTGATGTTGTTATTGAATGGAAAATAGGAAAAAGGAATTACAAGACAAGTAATTCCAAACCTTTGAACAGTATTGTACAGATACACACTTCAAAGCCTCTTATTTCATTTCATTACACACTCCAGCTCTGCTATCCTGTAGTCATCTCACTGTAATCTGGGAGTCCAGTGAACTCAGGCCATACTGAAAACAGGACAGGATATGTGGCTGAATCGTACAAACTACTGTCTGTCTACTTAATCTTCATTTGGTTGTTTAGTATTGCTGTTACTGGAATGGAAGCCAAGTTACAGTTTCATTGTAAGAGTTGATGGTGCATTTGCAAAATAGATTTATTATGTACCAGTAGAAGGCACTTTTGATAAGGGCCTTCCTAGGCTGGATAGGTTGTGTTGAGTTGTATGTGTTTGTATTTCTCTGCATACTACAGACCCAGGTGTTCAGAGTAGTGTGCTGTTGGGTCATGAGGATTCAGTGTGGGATCTGGCATATTCTTCCACCCTGAAACGCCTGGGCTCCTGCTCAGCAGATGGCACTGTGCGCATTTGGGACCCCCAAAGTTCAACTCCTTGCATATCTGTTTTCAACAAAGAGAAAGGTGAGTCTGCATGTGGGTGGCCAATGACCTAATGACCAAGTCAGCCCCCTTACATGCAATGTGGAAACAGACCTTGAGGCATCACTTAAGAGTAACCTATGTTTCACTTGGTAGCACTCCGCAGGCAAAGGAGACATTGATGGTAATACTAGTAAGATTGAATGAAAAAGAGCCATCTGTGTGATTTTTAAAGTGAACTTCAAATAGAATTTTATATTTTTGGTCACATTAAAAAGGTTACTTGTAATTTTAGAGTGTATGTGTATAATTCCAGTTTCATAATAAACAGTACATTTATGCTGTTAAACTATCTAATCAAGAAACTTTCTCCATCTCAGAACATGGCACTCCCACCTCCATTGCATTTGGGAATGCTGACTTGTCCCAGGCAGTGGTGTCCTTTGATGGTGGTGAGACTGTCCTCTATGACCTCAACACTGAGCAAAGCATTTTGGTTCTGGAGACCCAGACTAAGGATGGTGAGCAGCTTTAACTGAATATTGAATAACTGAAAATTTGAAATGTCCAAAATACAATACATGTGTATAGAAGCACAAAAGGGACAGCCTTTCATTTTGTGCATAAATCTAACAAAATGTTTTAATGAATAGTTCCTGATATCATGAATAATGTGTAATGTATAAAGTCTGTATAATGTAGTATAATAAATTAACCTTAAAGTTACAGAAAATCTAAATGGCTGTTTTGGCTCCCACTGTCAGTAGCAGTGGGAACTTTACTAGCAGCACAGTGCAAAAAATGAGTTTATTTGTCATTGTGTTATGGTCGATCAAAATACCGATACTCTCCAGGTCATTTCTAAATGTCCTCTTCATTTTCTCCTCCAATCACTGCTTAGCAACTGTTCTATATTCCGCCATTACCTCAGTCAAGCTTTTAAGATTTTAAGCAGTGAGCTAGTGTTCCTGTGAATGTACTTTGAATTTGAAGCTCCACATATTCAAAAGATGTCTGAACAAAGTCTGCTGTAGTGTGCTTTGGCTAGGATGCTTGATGGTATAGGCTTTGAAGTTTGATATTTCCGTCTTTATGTACATTTCTGCTATCTGATTTTATTTTAATTTATGTTGTTTTTATTGGGGTAAATGTTTTGACACATGCTTTATAGAGACGTGCTGCTTTGGTTGTTGTTAACTCGCGCTCTTATAAATGTATATGGAATCTTGCTATTGTTTTGTCTCAATCAGCAAAAACACTGCAATTATATGACTGACACCGTGGTTAGTGTGCTTTCATTGTAGTGCTGCATAGGCAGGCCTGGATCTGAGCAGCAGTATAAGCTGTAAATGTTCTTTACTGTGATGTTTTGACATGTTGCTTGCCCAGCCTGTGTGACAGTGGCATGTGACAGTAAGAGAAGTGCCCCCTAGTGTTATGTGACAGTCATTACAGTGGCTTGGCCTATGTGACGGTCACATTTTTGTTTTCATCCTGTGCCTCACTGGGTTCAGCCTCAGATAGTAAGCTCTGCTAGCTAACTTCTCTGAAGAACATTAGGCTGCTTCCAAACTCAGTTAATTTTCCAAAATACACACCAATTTTGCAGGGAAGCAAGTGCTCTGTTAGTCTCATATTTGCCACCATGAAAATGTGCACCAAATCATAACAATAGTAATAAATCATACTTGATGTCTTCTTATTTATGTTTTGTTTGTCAATTTAAATGTAACCAGTCAGGTTGCTGTTGCTTGGCTAAAAATATGCTCCGCAATCCATGTGCCAAAATCAAACCCATATCTTCGCTGTTGTTTTATTACTCATCTTAGGTTATTAACAGAAGCTTGAGCAGTAGGAATGATATGAGCATTTGTAATCAGTAAACTGTAAAAGCAGACAGATTGTGCTGATAGTACAGCTCTGATGTGCAGTGGAACAACGCAATCTGGTGTTGATTTCCCTCATGAAGTAGTTCTTTAGGGCGGACCTGAATACGGGTGGAGTGTCTAAATTAGAGATGAAACCGGTTTCACGGTAAACCGCGGTAAAATTAATGACGGTTAGTAGCACCGTTTGAACTTTAAAGTATCGTTAAAACCGCGGTCGATTACCGCGGTGTGAAAACTCGGAGATTCGGAGATATTTCAGCCTTCTAAGAAGACCAAGTCTGACATTTGGTCATATTTTGGGTTTTATAAGGATGCAAAGGGAAAGTTAATTGAAGATGACCACCCTGTCTGCAGAACAGGCCGAAAGAAAATAGCGGCGAAAGGGGGCAACACATCAAACTTTACGAGTCATTTCGCGACCACCACCCGCTACTTTTTAGAGAATGCAAGGTTAACTTTAACGTAGAAGTCTGTGGGGACTTCGAAATAGAAGAAATGTCATGGTCTGTGTGGTTTAACCTATGCTTATGGTTCGTTAATCATATAAAATGAAGCTTTTAGCGTCAAAAAAAAAGAAAAACAATTGGTGAATCAACTGTGAAATTGAAATCGAAACTAAAGCTTTTAACACATTTCTGTGGAGCAGAGTCTCCAAAATGAGCTCTGAGTTAACAGTCACACGAGCTCTGGAACGAGACGCTGCAGAGGTTCAATCTGCACAGCTCCCCTTTCTTGTCTCGCTTGCAGTGTTTACTGTCTGAGAATAACACCGTCTCAAATCACTCAGTGTCCCCTACATAGTGCTCTACTGTTCAAACAAACACGATCATCATTAACAAGCAGTTGAGTTTTAAATAGGGAATTTGTAGCCAGTTGTTAATGTTGATTATAGATGACTTAGTCGAACGTTTCTTGCACTCTTTGGGTGAAGGATTTGCTATTTCATGGTCCACGAAGTGCACTACATAGGGAAGATAGTGTGCTTTGAGACGGGACCTCACGCGAGTAACGCTGTGTGCTGCTTTTAGGAAAAGCAAAGTTTCAGAGATTAAACTTCAGGAGTGTTTCTGCTGCAGCTCAGATGCATGTTAATTTTAAGTTATGTTTTAGTTTTAAAATGCTTTTAGAGAAGCAGCTCCACAGGTGAAGACACACTGTGTGAGTTCTACACTGTCTGCAGCTCACAGCGCGGTCACGCAATTCCTCTGTGATTTTGGCTGTTTTTCCTGGTGCACTGTGTTGATTAGGGGTTCAGCGCCACAACGGCACAATAATGCTGCAGTTGCAGTTCGGACAGAAATCCCCCGAGTGCAGCACTTCTTAGAAGTAGTAATTTTCCATTAAGACCCACCTCAGAATTGGTCGAGATTTAATTCTCTATGCAGGGAAATCCCTAGTTATTGTAATTAATAATAATAATAATAATAATAATAATAATAAGAATAACAGTAGTAGTAGTAGTAATAATAATAATAATAATAATAAGAAGAAGAAGAAGAATAACAGTAGTAGTAGTAGTAATAATAATAATAATAATAATAATAATAACTGTAATAATAATACATTTGCTATTCTTTTGTTTACAGAGTATTACAAGTATTGTAAGTAATACAAAAGTAATACTAAAAATGTATTGACCTTATTTTTTAATGTTTATGCAAACAAAAAGTGCATATTGCTGCCAATTCTGTTTGTGTTAATATAAAAGTTGGTGAAACGAGTTTCAGTTTGTGTATCAGTATTTATTTTTTTATTTATTTTACTTTTCAAAACATTTGAACAATATCGCGATAATACCGATAATCGTGATAATTTTGGTCATGATAATCGTGATATGAAATTTTAATATCGTTTCATCTCTAGTCTAAATCTAAAGAAGTTCAGTAGTTCCACTTCAGCCACTGTAGATCTGAAAACGATCCTAGTTTAGCAATGTAGCAGTAATATATATTTAAACATTTAGTAAATTCACACACTATCGCAATAACATTTTTATCAGATGAGTCTTGTTGAATATGGGAGGCAAATCCGGCCAAAAAAGAAATTAAAATTAAAACAATAAAATGTAGATGCAAACCTCTTTTTGACATTTCTTTTTCCAAACATCTGCGCAAATATCCTGCCAAAATTGAAAATGAAATGAAAAACCTGCATTTGCAATTTCATTTTTCACATAAGCATGAGTCATTTGTGACAAAAATAAAAATAAATTTAAAACTGCTGTTTGTCATTTCATTTTAGTCCTTATTCTGGTAATTCATGGTCATATCTAAAAGAGAAAAGCTAAAAGGCTTTACCTTTTCTTCATGAAATGCATAATACGTGTCAAAACTAAAGTCAAAATGCAATGTTTACATTCTTATACAGCAATAGGCTGCATATCTGACAAAATTAAAATGCAAAATGGATAAATCAACAGCAGAGTGACAGTTTGTGATTCAGTGTTCGGTGTGGATGCGCTTTAAGTGTCAGAATAAACAGGCAAATGCAAACAAACATCGGCACCATCTGCTGGTAATTTACTTTTCATTTGCCACTTTGCTTTTTTGTTTTCAAATTGACCAACATGCAAATATATGTTAATTAGCACTAGGCGGGCCAGCGGGGTACATTTTAGGACATCCTCAGACCTCAGCGTCAGAACGGCATCATTCCTCAAGCTAAACAACTTCTGAGTCTCGAGAAAAGCGATCGTCATGTCTCAGATCTGGTGAAACTGAACATCAGACCAAACACCGTCAGACCAAATGGTCAATTTGAAAACGAAAAAGTAAAGTGGGAAATGAAAAATAAATCTCCAGCAGGTGGTGCCGATGTTAGTTTGCATTTGCCTTTTTATTCTGACACTTGAAACTGAATCGCAAACTGTCACTTTGCTGTTGATTTATCCATTTGGCAGAAGAAAAGAAAGAAGAAAAGCCAAAGCCAATCCAAAATGAAGCTTGGATTTTCTTTTCTCTATTAGCTTTTCCATTTTAGATATGGCCTTGAAATACCAGAATAATGACTAAAATGAAATGTGAAATAGCTGCTTCAAATTTATTTTTATTTTTTTCCACAAATGGCTCGTGCTCGTGTGAAAAATGAAATTGCAAATGTAGGTATTTTTTCATTTTCAATTTTGGCAGGATATTTGCGCAGATATTTGGAAAAAGAAATGTCAAAAAGAGGTTTGCATTTACATTTTATTGTTTTAATTTTAATTTCTTTTTTGGCCGATTTGCCTCCCATAGGTTGAACACCAACTCACGAAGGCTTTACTGTTTGGGAAATGTCCTGCCCCCAGCTGAAATGGAGATTCTGATCTGGTTCTGCCAAGGAGTTTCACTTTCTCTCTCTTCGTGTCTATTCGTCAGCGCTCCACATAATTTAATTTCTTTGTCAGTAAGTGATCTGAACTCAATCAGAAAATGGTGGGTCTTCACCCAAGTAATTTGAAAAGTGGTGGGTCAAATGCCCGTGGTTCTGGTGGCCCTGCACGAGACAGTGAGAGAAGAGCCCCCTAGCATTATGTCAGTCTTACATGACAGTGGCACATAAGTGTGTTTAAAGCCACTGAGTGTTATGTGACAGTCATTACAGTGGCTCTGCCTTCATGACAGTGGCAGATGACAGAAAGATAAGAGCCCCCT